AAGGGTCTTTTAGTGTAGTGGTTATCACTGCGGGTTTTGATTCCGCCAACCCGAGTTCGAACCTCGGAAAGACCTCTCGTGAAATCTTTTAGTGTTTCCGAAGTGTATGCCTGTTTTTTTACTTGCCATTTCCATGATTCTCAGAGGTAAACCTTCTGCACTGCATCCGCTGTTTTTGGGCAAACCTTTTCAGATATGTATTTATTCTACTCTAGCGTTTTATTTCTCAGCTACTTTATTTTACTTCACTTCAGCTGATACCTGTATACTTATAGTCTTTTCCCATCTCTTTATTCTAGTGGGTAGTCACCTGTATCAGTCTATAGTATATTCCAGATTATATATGCAGTAGAGTAACCATTCTAAACTATAGCTTACTTAGACTGTTTATGCAATTGAAGATAGATAGTTAATACTAGGTATACTATGTAACTATTAGAATGTTAATGGAGGGGGGTTATTTATATATTATAAGCTAGCCTATTATTAAACTTACCTCTGGTAGTTTTTTGCTGCTCCACCAATTAGTGTATTTCTCCTAAACCCCCATAGGTATGTAAAATTTTTTGGAGAAAAGAAAGATAAACTATAAATTATATTATATTAATTATTATGTTGCTGCAGCCACTGCCTAAAAATATTTTTGTTATGTAAAATATAATATAATTTATTGTCTATCTTACTATTCTCTAAAATTTTTCACATACCTATATGGGTTTCAGAGATATCCACTAATTGGTGGAACAACAAAAAGCTAACAGAGGTAAGTTTAATAATAGGCTAGCTTAAAATATATGAGTAACCTCCAAAGATACACTTAGAGATAAAGAAAAGGTTGGCTCAAACTATATTAGCTGGTATACTTACAAAGATGATCTAAAAGTTAGAAAGAAGGTATATAATAAGTTTGCACAACTTTTAGAAAGTGAAGTACATAAGCCTATCAGCTTAAAGATATCACAGTTAGTTAAGCCAACTACTGAGTACTATACTAGTGTATTAACTATATGTAAAGATAAAGGACTGATGCATTTAGAGCTAACTATTAATTCATCTTAAATGTAAGATGTTTAGTAGAATACTAGTAGAATAAATAGTTGTCTTCTATTTCTCAGTAAGTGTAGAACTTTTGCTACTTCATTTGAATAACAGTAGATGTCTCTAGTTGAAAAGATATATAATAGTTATATATTGTATGTTTATATTAAAAGTAAAAATATATTTGCTTACTGCCATTAGTTTAACTCACTAACTTATAAAAAGTAAGGTATTGTAAAGGACTTAAAGGAGAATGAGAATATAAGAACTCTTGTATCTACTCTTTTTTTCAATAGGTGTCTGATACTGCTTCAAACATATGATACCTTTGAGAGTGGTATTGAGTCAGAACAAATTTTGTAGAGAGTAACTGCAAATATAACTATTATACCAAGTCAATGAAATTCCTTATGGCCAGTTAGATCTACTATTAACCAAGTACTTATTTTTGCTACAATGGGGCTTACTAACTATAGAGGAATGCATATTGATTGGCTTACAGAAGTACAGGCAAGAAATAGGGAGAGCCTCTCAGTACTTACACTTATTGATGATAATAATGACATTCTTCAATTAGATGATCTAGTAGATGACATTGCAAATATTGAGCTAGATGACATTGAGCCAACTTTTATAGCTAAGAACACTGATCTATGGCCATATCTATATAGAACTGCCTATGCAATTCTTAGATAAGGCAATGAGTTTCCTGTTACCTATTTCTCTAGGTATACATTTAGAAATACTCTGTACTATTATCTTGATACTCATATGATATCTAATGATGTAGTTGATGTCAACATTACCTTTATTTAAACATAAGTTAATAGTCCACTTGGGGAGCTAATTACTAATATAACTAGCCAACACAACCAGGAAGTAGTACTAAGAGTTATAAGAGTACAAAATTGTAGAGTATATGTTGAAAGGATTGACTTTTAAAATAGCTGTTGTGCTACTATCTCCTCCATCTTAGAACAATATATATGATAAGCTTTAATAATATGGTTAATTGTTATATCATCCTCTTGAGTAAGGTGAGCAATCCATGTTTTAATATAGTAAGATAGCTGGGCACTCATATAGAAGTTAGCAATAAGTAGCTGAACCAGCTTATCCTGCTCTTGGTCATCTAAGTTAGCTACTCATATTATAATGAATTGAGAAAATATACCTATTGTAATAATTGATAGTCTTAAGGTAGTGCTAGCCTAAAACAATATATCATCAGTTATATGATCTTCAAGATAAGGAGTACTATAAGCTGTATATAACACAGTGGCTATTCCTTAATGATGACTGGGTAGTTATGAAGCATGAGAAATATTACAGAAGTGAGGTATATGATGTGCAAGAAATAAAACTAGTTAAAGATATACTTATCAAACATCTTGGTATTGTTCCTATCTTCTTCTTCCTCAATGTAATCTTTGGTAGTAAGCAGTACCCTTGCCCATATAAAAATATAGATAAGGGG